CATCACGGGGAGGTAGATAGTTTATTTGTAGGCTGCTAACCAATCTTCTGTAGACGTAGTATGCCAGTTTCCACTCCACGGTTGACTCTCTTGTTGAAACATTTAAGGCAATAGTGCACGACAATTATTGTTCCGACAATTATAAAAATTAGAATAAACGCCAGCATGCACCAAGAAATCATCCCGATGTGTGTTTCTACCTGGGTGCTGGTTATTGTGTTGTGGTAACCGATTTGGGATGTAATTTGTGAAGTTTGTGGCTCCGGTTTGGAAGCTTGGGAGTTACACATTTTAAATGATGCACACAATGTCAGTAAACGCGTATTTCATTCACTTATTGTCCGATATCATTTTTATTTAATTTGTAATATAATGTATATTGTTTCATGTAGGTGGAAATTCGTAAATGGCATTGGATTACTCATATTTAAGTTTACTATAATTGTATTATTTGTCCGTGAATTTTCCTAAAATGTATAAATAAATAAAATAAATAAATAAATAAATAAATAAGTCGCGGCGCGAGCGGCAGAGCCCAAATATGGCAGGGTCGCCATGTAAGGGTGGGAGCTGGTGGCGATGAGTGAAACGAGCGCAGGCTGGTATAACACTGATTTATTGAGAATAGTACGAGTATACATATAGTACGCATAGGTCTACACTATAACGGCACACCAGACTACACATTTTTGCTCGAACATCGCCTCCAATGCAACGGAATAAGACACGTCAATGTGTAGCTTGATGTGCTGGCGTGGTATACATTGTCGCCGGAAGTATCAAACGTGGGAGTCACTGTCGAAGGACAGGATCGGTCTCGGTGTATCTTAATGTACCTCTAACGGGAAAAACCCTTGTATGGGTCTTACTTACTTTCAGATATTGTAGATATTGGTTACCATCTGCACTTGTACAAAACCTCGGTTACGGGAGCAAGAACCCACAAAATAATATGCTTTTATTTTCCTAATCTATTAGAACAACGTCTCCTACACGTACTTCTATAGCACGATATTGTTACCCCTTATGAATTACGTAGCCGACATAGGTAGTCAGACCTGTCAGTATCCGACAGCATCGATATTAAGAACGCTGTGTTCTTTCATTGACTGAATGCACATTGATCGGATCATTGATCACTGTTTATGGTTGCTTCGCAATCGCAAAGTAATGTTTGCAGCTCAATTAACATTAAAGAGGCTCTGCCTAATACCTTTCTAAGCAGCTCCTTCGCTATGCGGATAATTTGCTCGTAGAATCATTCCCACCAAGGAGCATCGGGAGGTATGGAGTACCACTTTAGACATCGTTGTACTGAGAGGATGTTATAACTATAATGCTGCAATGACCGATTTTAAATGATTATTGATAGAACTAGAAACATCTTGATACCAAATTGACGAACTTGATACCACATGAGTAAATAACTCATCGGAATGGAAATTTGGTTTCAAGACTGAAAAACACTGACAAAAATCCGACTTATCGCGTCGGGAAAATGTGAACCTGCGTTAGCTATTTATTGATTTATGTGTGAAGTCGAGTTGTGCTCAGAGATTTCGCTTAATAAAACATAACCATGTATTTACAATAACAATAATAACAAGAATGCGCCAGGCAATCTCACCAATTGTCTGGTTTCAAACTAGCAAATTCCCTATGACACCCAGAACACCCAGACCAAAACTTCTCAATCAGCGTTCACTATGCAAACCATTAGGCAACCGACGTTCTCAAATGAAGCTGCTGAAATCTGTAGCTCTCGTTATTGTATAATAAGTCTTTAATTGTAATGTTCAATTATTGACTGGTCTTTGGTTCTGCAAATTTCAATCTGAATCTGTTTCAAGACTACTTAACTGTACTTTGTTAGCTCTTTGTACGGACTTTGAAGTTTTGGCCGGGTTTCTCTGGCAGTACCTATCACATTGTTAACGTTGTGAAAGGGTCAAGACGCGACCATTGTTCCTTTTATTTCACTCTACGTGACGATAAACAATACTTGTTTGTTGTGCACAAATATTACTTGGTCGAATCGCTCTGAAAAGTCACTTTTTAACCGACTTCAAAAAAAGAGGTTCTCAATTCGACTTTTTTTTGTATGTATGTTACGTGATAACGCCATTTGTAAACCAATTTAGATAATTCTTCTTTTGTTGGAAAGAGAGTACCTCAATATTGAAATAGATGTAATTCGCCAAGTTTTATCGAAACCGGATTCATCCCCTAGTTTGCCACCCTTGTAGTAGAATATTTTCTTGAAATTTAAATGGGTCCACTACTGAGGTAGCGTCTTTCTAATAAAATCGCGTAACATACATACCAAAAAAATACAGTCGAATTGAGAACATCCTCCTTTTTTTTAAAGTCGGTTAAAAGTGTGTGTAATGCAATAAACCAGATTTATCCCCTAATTTGCCACCTTTAGAGGTGGAATATTTTCTTCAAATTTGAATGGGTGGTGCCATTCAAATTTGAAGGAAGTATTGCTATTACTTCTACTGAAGTAGGTGCCTCAGTAGAAGTCCCTTTCCAACCAAAAATAGAATCATCGAAATCGGTTCACGATTGTCAGAGTAATCGCGTAACTTACTCAAGAAAAATACAGCCAAATTAAAAACCTCCTACTTTTCTAAAGTCAGTTAAAAAGTAAAGGCCTTTTTAACATTGCACCTTAAAACTTGTATTGAAATAATACCAAGTTGATAAGAAATATTACTATATTTTCCGTAACTGATCACACGTTCCTCAATAATGTAGTACAATCACTTTATGTGAGTAATTTACTCGTCTAGCCTTTCGGACACACCACACGACTGAGCCGGCCGGCCGTTTCCCCCACCCCGTCCCTCCACTCGATCCTACTTTTTAGTAGCAGGGTGGGATGTGGCGGAAACGGCCGCCGATTGGCTGATAAGAAAATTAAGCAAAAATGAATACTCTTTATATTCAAATACTTAAAATTATAAGTGTGAATCATTATTTTAACTATCTACAATAAAACATATTTGGTTGTAAACCTTTCCTTTGAATTAAACTGATATTGCAATTTAACGTTATGCTATTGTGAATAGCGCCATCTATTTGCCACCAATATTCTATACAATACAATGCCATTTAGTGGTCACATATGATACTATTTATCTAGTAATCAGTTATTACATTAATTTACTATGTATGAATACATATTTCATAAATGTACAATAAAACTATTCTACAATATTGTAATACTCAACAGATATATTTCAATAAAGATAGAGATATATTTTCATAAATGGAGGAAATATTTTCCAGATACATTTTCCGACATTGATGAGATAAACTTTATCATGTAACGACATTCTGAGTTCTATTAACGTTACGTTACCTTTTTTAAATGTCTCGCTGCAATGACTTTCTAATTTAGGTCGAAATCGATGTCAAAAAGAAGGCAACTTTTCTTGGATGCTTATTTCAGTAGGTTAGACTATGCACAGTGACCCTCTTAATGGATTTTAAATAAAGCTGCAACAAATATTCTGTTACTATTCGGTATCAGGCTTATTCGGACTGTTTTTTACTATTACTATTCGGCCAAATACCAGTAGTTTTAGTAACAGTGGAGCTTCTTATGAAAGAGTTCGTCCGGGGAAATATTGCCTTCTATTTCTGCCGCCAAGCAGTAATATCAGTATTGCTTTGTTCCGGTTTTGAAGGGCAAGGGTGCTGGTAAAATTACAGGCACATGGGACTTGTCAACTTATGTCTCAGGGTGACGGGCGCAGTGGCAGTGCCCCTCAGATCTTTGCGATTTAAAGCTCTGAGTGGCTCTGCAACTGTTATGGACATGGACAGGCGTGTAGCTTGCCATCAGGTGCACGATATGTTCGTCTTGTCACTTGATATAAAAAAATAACCCAAAACAGACAGTGGCATAAGAAAAAACGCAATAAATCACGTTACTTTGATTAATGCAACAATTACTAGCCTACGCCTAATGGCCTTAAGTCCACAATTTCTACTGTTTTGTGCGCAATAAATAATTTCATTCTTCAGTGAGATGGCATAATTTTATTTTTTTTTTGTTTAATTGTACAATAATTACTTAACCGAAGTTAGTAAGTGGTATTCTTCGTGCTAATTTTCGTAGTTGCGTTAATCAGGTTTAATAGTTCGGCCTAATATTCGGCTATTCGGTCACGATCTTGGGCGAATGTTAAGCTCCTGGGGGCCTACCACAACCTCTTAAAACAATATTACTTTAACCTTACATTACTTATCGTACCCTAACGCGCTTAAAGTAAGCTTATTTGTAATGTTAAAACTATGATGTTTTATTGGCAGCTTTGTGATTATTCATTCACTCAGTTTATACCATGACGCGATTTTGACATTAAAGTAATATTGCGCTTATGTCAAATTTAGCAATCTAAAAATAGTTACACGGATGCAATGGAAACAATATTATTTTCAGTTATATTGTCTTAATATTGATTTGTAATAATTAAAAGTTAAGCTGAGCTTATTTATTTACATATATCTCTTCAGTATTTTGTTTATTTTTTATTTAATAGTACACAGGAAATAATTTCTCGTTAAATAAAAGTACGCGATGTTTATTTCGTAAAATTATGACAGCGCCATCTGGGCGAAACTAACAGTTGACACTAGACTATAGTTCCGAATTCACGACGTGACTATCAAGACTCAGCTAGTTTTATTTATTTTTCTTCATGAAAATGCGGAATAATAATTGAAGTAATAGATTTCATTATTACATACTTTTCTTTTTTTGGCAATTAAAATTTTCGGAATGTAAATAACATTAAGTTCTTTAACATTATACTACGATAACACGATTCGGAACATCATAAAAGAAAGAGATGGCATTATACAGTTCATATAGCGATATTTCTTTCCAATTATTAGTAAGGAATAGACGATATTGGGAAATCATTTGTTCTTTCAGTCATTTTAGCAATAATACATTTCTTGGTAGACAAGTTTGTCATGGTACGAATATGAGTAATATAAGTAAGTAATAATATGAGTAACAAGCTTACTTATGCTTACATTTAAATAAGTTGTTTTTAGAAAGGTTATTGTGAGGTTTTATAAGAATGAGTAGGTATTTTACCTAATCACTGAATTATATACATTACCGTGAACATTTATATAAAACCGCATTTCATTTTTATTTCATAATTGTACTCCTATAATCGAGACACTAATCCGCAATTCTAATTTAAAAATATCAGTATTATGTAAATATCGCATTTGCCAAAGGTTATTTCAATATAACACGAGAATACTGTGATACCATTTTTTTTTTTCAAATTATGGAACAAATAATAAAGTGACAACCTTACGCACCGAGTGACGTGTGTAAGCGACGACGCGGCATTCGCGAACCTGCGGGAGTTCAACTACTTTTCCTATTATGCTACGGTCCAGGTAGCCGATAGTCTGTGATTTTCAAACTGCACTGATTTTCAATTTATGAAAGTTTTGCTATTTTTCAGCAATTTTTACATTTTTGCGAGCAAATTGCAATAATGTAGCTCGAACTCGCACTGGCTCAGAGTCGAAGCGTCGCGACACCTCGTGTTTTTCGCCTGTAGAAATTCATCTATATTTCCCCATTATTAAGGTACACATTTGTGTTATACAAATATGGAATCGCGCGTCGACGACGCTTGGTTAAAGTCGATACGAGAGTCGTCGCGCGATGACGCGGGTCGCCATGCGCTGTAGTTGAAAAACAGGACTCAAAAGTCATTCATCCCCTAGTTTGCCACCCTTCGAGGTGGAATATTTTCTTCAATTTAAAGGAGACCACTACTGAAGTACCCTCTTTCCAACAAAAAAGAATTATCAAAATCCGTTCACAAACTTTATTACGAGTTATCGACGACGAGTAACGAGTTGTAACAAAAAAATATGCAGTCGAATTGAGAACCTCCTCCTTTTTTAAAGTCGGTTAAAAAGTTACAGGTTCATTTATTTTTCGATTTTTTTACCTACTGATAAAAAGATTTGTGCTAAGAGTAATATCATAATAAACAAACTTTCAAAATGCATTTTATAAGATGGTATCGTCAATATCAATAAAAAAACGGAGGCGGCCTCATGGTTTGACCTTCCGCCTCTCAAGCAGAGGCCGTGGTTTCGAATCCGAATTCTCACCTCTGAGTTTCTCGGAATTTATATGTACGACAATTTAATTTGAAATTTACCATGAGCTTTTCAAAATATCGTTATGAAACCTGCGTGTCTAAAGGTCTACAACCCTCGGAAAACGTGTGAAGTCCCAACCTGCACTGGGCCAACGTAACGGACTAGGGATTATCCTATCCTAAGAGGTGACACGTGACACACAGTGGGAAGTATTATATAATTGGGTTGATGATAATCATGATGATCGTCGATATCATGTTGCTGTTCATAAAGAACTTCATCTACGGTCAAAGTGTACAAAATTAGCTTTACTTACTTTGATTATAAATATACTTGTAGATTCCTGCTTTTTTTGAGTAGATAATTCAATTCATAGCTCAAATTATTACCGAGTGTTGAAATTATTTCAAATCTCTACTTATACAGCGCCTATGTATAGAAAAACTCATAAACACCACACAAACCTATATTTAAAGCTGTCTGTTTCTGAACCAATAAACTATTAAACGTTGATGTTTGCTTGTAAATGATCAAGGTCACTGCTAGTATAAACCGTTGGTTTATTTTTTTTACTAATTCACAATAGCCAGTCACTTCATATCTTCAAATACTTAATAGACATGGTTATTTCTTGTTTATTAATACTATTTCTGCCCATGAAACCGAAGTCTTCAATCGTGTAACGTATTTCAGATTATTCGTGTTAAAATTTATTTATAAATATACGTAAAATAAGAATAAAGTGAATGAAATTGAGTCCTCACAACAGTGATGGCACAATACTAACAGCGTAACAGACAATGACCAGAATTGTGTTTCTTCATTTTCAGTTCTATTTCAAGTGTATGGATAGGAAAAAACTTCGAGAGTAGAGGTTCCCACTGTTATAGGGGTGGGTACGACATGGACATTCGACATAAGTTTCGTCTTGTCCATGTTCATTATTAGACCCACCTGCTGGTACCACTATTGAGGTCACCGAGAATGGTGCCATGCTCTTCCAACGATTCTGCCATGACCACGATATCGTCAGCAAATCGAAGGTGAGTGATGTACTCGCCATTGATGTTGATGCCGAGTCCTTTTCAGTTCGGTATCGGAACCTCGGTACCTGTCGCACTCTTTTTTGTAATTGGATAGGCCTTGTGCACTGATCCTGGAGTCGAACTGACATAGTGGCGTTTCTGTACAAACACTTCAACACTTCGATATATCGATAGTCAATGTGGCACCGTTGTAGAGACTGTAGCACCGCCCAAATCTCGATCGAATCAAAGGTTTTCTCATAGTCCACAAACACTAAGCAAAATGGCAGGTCTCGGTTTTCTGTATAACCTACCGCAGCGTGTGTATGTGGTCTATGGTACTGAAGCCCTTTCGGAAACCGGCTTGTTCGGGGGGCTGGAAGTCATCGAATCTGCGCGCGAGACGGTTAGTGATGACTCGTGAAAACTTGAGCTTTGCTATAATGGACGTAATTGAAAAATTACATATTTAATATTTAATTACCGATGAAATGTGATTCTGTTTGTTTTGTAATTAGATGCTTTGCTATTTTTCCCACACCACCGAATAGAACAGTCCCCCGTAGTTAGAGATATTATCTTAATAATAAACCCGTGCAATCATAGGTACCAGGACTTAAGACTTTATATTCTATGGCCATGTGATATTAAAGATAAAGTCCTAGTTTTGCAGGCGTCTAGAGGCAGTTATATTCACGACCCATCAGGTGAATCTCTTGGGTCATGGAAAAATTTCCATTTTGAAAAAACTATAAATATTTTTCCCATTTTTATCCACATTTCACAGTCACACCTGTCAAAAGTTGAAGATAGTGAACTCTTTTTGAGAATTTATGAAAATAAGGCAAACAGTCTTTAGAAAATTACATTTAGCAATGTTTATACAATTTTATTTTATAACTTATGCTAAATAAAACTTTAAAAGATATATCTAAACGTAAAATATGATAAATTCGAGTGTTTGCAATTTTTGAGAAAATTACCCATAACTAGGTGAATCGAGTATTTTCCGGTTTGTACGTACCATCAATATCCATCAGTGAATTTTAAACAGATAATGTTGAGAATTGTGATTTCTCTCGTTTAAAATGATTTCTGCCAATTCAGAAACTCCTTCGACACATCATAAGGAAAAGTGAACCTTTAGTAATCACTTTCTTCCACTTCCAAATTATTTGCAAAGTATCCATTTCCACAGCACATTCACCTTTCGAGATATCTTATTTGATCATGTAAAACAAAGTTCAACACACTTTATATTTGTTCTCCGAAGAAACGCAATATGTTCTGAGAATAAAACGAGCTACAGACTTTCCGCAGACAAAATATAATGTAGCCATTTATTCTCACAGGGCAAATCGGAGGAATGAATCGTAGAAAGTCAAAATCAGTCAATGAAATGAGTTTCTTTAGAAATAGGCTAAACACGAACAGCGGATGCAAAAACAGACTGCTGTCTAATAGAATAAATAGAAATTACTTGCTACTTGTACACTTTTGCGACGCCAAAAAAGTATTTTTTTCTTTAAATGTCATAAAAGCATTGCCGCCCATGTGACATTAGGTCATTAATCTCCAGGGTCGTGATTGCGCTTGCTCTCCTTAGCCTTCAGCCTTGTATACAGCGATGTCGTCTTGCAGTAGAAATAGATGTGGTGGTTTATTTGTCTATGTTACATTTTTCCACTTTTACGATTGGTACTTCGTTTGGTTTTTAACCCCCGACGCAAAAAAAGAGGAGGTATAATAAGTTTCAAGCATTTGCTAGTGTATCTGTCTATGGCGTCACAGCTTCCAAATGGTTGTTTTTTATTTGGAATCTTATTCAGTCGGGATATTATAAACTATATTTGATAAACATCTGTTAAATAGCTTTAATTGGTGTGGGAATCTCAGTGAGGAAATTAATATTTATTTTATTTCCACTTGTGCAATCGACTTGAAATTTGGCGTAGTCTAAAAATCCGATAACATGACGATAATAATAATTCATAATGTTTATTGTTACTCTTTGTTTTTAAGAAGATCAATATTTTTTTCTACCCCTGCTATTGTTTTTTTTTGTGTTTCCTTTGTATTAACCTGCACCTGTGCATTTAGAATTTAATATGTTAGACTTTACATACCATATTGGTTGGTATGGCTGTGCTTCATTTTCAGTCCTGTATTACTCATTGTTGGGTATAGGCATCTTTTCGCTCCTGCCAAACTTTCCGGTTCTTTGCGTCTTTGGTCCAGGTTTTGGCGGCGACTTATTCGGCCTGTCCTTAGCCAACGTTCCGTCAAAGCCTTGCTCCAGCGGCCATCACCACTTCTAAACAGATGTCACACTCCACTTAAAATCTATAACACGATCCCCGACATCTTGAATTTCATCGGACGTTGAATTTCCGTGTTTCGAATTTAACCGAGGATTGCTATACCGGGCATGTCACGTTCCATGGCCCTTTATGATACTCGTGTTCGGTGTACAGTTTCCTTAATAGGTGTCCATGTTTCGGCACCATAATATTATTGTTGGTAGGACACACTGGTTGAAGAGATGGATCTTAAGCCACTGTGATATCTTTTCTGACCGAAAGACATCTTCCAACATTTCGAAAGCTGTAAATAAATTACAAAAAATAGCATAACAGAATTCAAACTTCGCAAGTCGAAATAGAAATACATCTACATTCCGACCACGTACCGGTCCTATGTATAATTTTACTTGCATGTGAATAAGTATATGTACATGCTGTGATTCCTACCCACATATATTATATAGAAAGACAAGGAATTTTATAAATTGTTAAGTGTGTACGTGCCTGTACCATATGTTCACAAACTATCTTGTACTTTTTAGTAGCAGTAGAGCTTCTAGTGAAAGAGTTCATCCAGTGTAGTACTGCCACCTTACCTGTTTCTGCCGCCAAGCAGTAATGTGAGCATTACTGTGTTCCTATTTTGAAGTGTAAGGGTGCCGGTGAAATTACAGGCACATGGGACTTGTCAACTTATATCCCAGGGTGATAGGCACAGTGGCAGTGCCCCTCAAATATTTGTGATTTAAACCTTGCTGACCATCAGATGCACGACTCGTTCGTCCTTACACGTAATGTTATATTAAAAAAAACTTAGTGTTAGGCAAATTGAATATATTTCTGTCGGAAAATTAAACAAGTTTTGTTTTTTCAAACAAACCAGCGTTTTGGATTCTTCATAGGTTCCATGATCACGGCAGACTGATATGATGATATCATCAACTACATATAACATCTAATATTATATACCACGCGATTTAGGTCCAATTTCGTAACAGTGGAGCACCTTGTGAAAGAGTTCGTCCAAGGAAGTACTGCCACCTTACCTATTTCTGCCGCCAAGCAGTAATGTGAGCATTACTGCGTTCCGGGTTTCAAGCATAAGAGTGCTAGTGAAATTACAGGTACATGGGATTTGTCAATTACGTCTCAGGGTGACGGGAACAGTGACAGTGCCCCTCAGATCTGAACAGCACTGCAACTGCTAGGCACCGCGCAAACTTGTCTTGTGTTGAACACAAGCAACCGACAACTTCTGTTTTATCCAACATAAGACGCACACTTACGCGAAAATTCTATTTATCATGTAAGTTGCGGCATCAGGCGACTGTGTGGATTTCATATCAATTTGTATGAAAATAGAAGAAGATAAGAAATAATCGCGAAAACCTAAGAACTCTGTATGTATTTCTGTCGTCATTTCAGGAAAGGGTAATCAATAACAGGGATGTGTTCCTATTTCATGTTATAGTGTTGTAATCATAAAAGGTAAATGGTACTAATTACCGACACTAACAGCGAGTTTTATACAAGTCTGCATAAACAAGGAATCTGCGAAATACTTACTTAGTAAAACCTAAAAAAAGAGCACATACGCTCTTTTAAATAAAATTTGTTTTAAATAAAAATTTAGTTAATATATGTTCATTGCTTTTTTTTAAATCGATAAATTCGAAAAATATTAAACTCTCTACTTCAAGTTAAGGCCCCAAGCTTCAAATTAAATTAGAAACCCATTTCGCTGAAAAAATATACATAACGGCAAACGGATTCAATGATTGCCTCTCAAAGCAATATTCCGGCATAAGCTTTTTTATGGAAATCTTCTCGAATTTTTCCCACTTTATCTGTGATGCTAGGTATACAATATGTATATCGATATGTGTAGACAACGAAATTATGATAAAATGATATCTGAAGCGAGTGTTAAAAAAAATGACCTATCGAGTTATAGATTATTCGCAATGATCACACATAGGAAATGAAACTATTTATTCGGATCTGAAGTGTTTTTTGTTTGCAAACAAACCAAGTTTCCGGCCGTTTATAAAAGTCCTTGGCAAAGTCATCGACAATAATTACATTTTAATATTTGACGTGACTGAACAGAAACAAAACAATATAATAACTTCACAAAGTATAACATAAAATCACATACAAAGTTTTCGTCTTGTGAAAGAGTTGGTCCAGGGAAGTGCTTACGTATGTTAAGTGCTTAGTACTAATACAAACAGAAACAAAACATTATAATAGCTTCACAAAGTATAACATAAAATCACATAGAAAGTTTTCGTCTTGTGAAAGAGTTCGTCCAGGGAAGTGCTGCCACCTTAGCTATTTCTACCGCCAAGCAGTAATGTCAGCATTATTGATAAGTCCCATGTGTCTGTAACTTCACCAGCACCCTTACCCTTCAAAACCAGAACACAGTAATGTTGACATTACTGCTTGATGGCAGCACTACTCTGGACGGAGTCTTTCACAAGGAGATCTACTAAAGGATCATCTATCAAGGATCTCTATCAAGAAGTTCCACGTGGATCTGAATACCTACATGGAACAACTGTCAACAACAATTAAACGTCTTAACGTTTATTCGCAGTAAAGATCGTAGATTTCGTACATTCTTTAAATCTCTCTCCTGAAAATTTGTCATTTTGCAGATGTGGCCTCATTATGGGGTGCGAAGCATTGTTTTTAATAAAAGCCCTTTACAAAAATAATCCTGACTTGAATCTATCCTCTTACACGAAACTGCCTGGCTTTGTATTGTCTCACA